TTTTTCCTCCCCAGATTCGATATTCTCGTCGATGGCTACACTAGTTTAGATAGGAATATCAATTCGTTAATATCTACTGGTCCGAGCCCGTGACACCGGTCTGACTCCTCCTTCTGAGGAACTCAATATCGTTCCCTTTGTTCCTCCTTCTCAATTCATCGATCACATCGCTCCATATCAGCTTGGTGGATGGGGTCAGGACTGGAACGCTGGAGAATCTGTTTTGAGACCTCCAAGTACTGCTCACTCTGAATGTCGTCCAGGCAGCTTCGCTGCTCAGTGTCACGGGCTCGGAATAGTAGATAATATTGAATCAAAGTTCCTATCTAAACTATTGTAGCCATCGACGAGAATATCGAATCTGGAGAAGAAAAGGAAAAAAGGGGAATCTATCTGGATAATGAAGAGGTTTTTATAGGGTTGTATAGCGGCATTTGTGATGTATCGTCCGTTGATGCGGTGTTGGGTCGTTATATGTGAGCTATCATGTGTGAGCCGTCACACTCAGCCCAAACCAGCTTTCGGTGCTTAACGTTCAGCCAGACATCGTGATGATCAAACCACTTCCGTCCAATAATCAAGTCATGTTGACCCAACTCAGCAATCAGGAAGGGTTGGTTTAGGAATTGCTGTCCATCAATGAGTAAGTGACAGATGATGGCATGGGTGATTGCTGAGCCAGTCTTCCTGTTGTATCCCTTTGTACCGATAGGAGTGTTGAGCTGTCGTGTTGGGATTCCAAAGAACTTTGCCAGTCCAGTCGCTCGCTGGGTGTCCATGAAGAGATACCCATTTGCTCCAGTGTCGGCTAGAGTAGTCAGGAATACTGATTCCATTGTAAGCTACCTGGCTATTCACATTGAATCCTTTTCCTCCAATTAGTTGACTAAGATCCAATTCACCTAGGTCGACACCATCTAGCCCCAGGTTGGAGACTTTCTCCTGGGCTAGACTTTTCCCGCATCACTAGTCTCTTCAGTTGCTGCAGTCTGCTCAAGTTCCTTCAGTTCAGGGGTGGATGACTTGGTGGGGCAGTCCCGAGCTAGATGTCCACGTTCCTGGCAATGGAAACATCTACCTTCCTTCATCAATCGGTCACGTCCGACACCGCTAGTCTGTGAGGCGGTAGGACTAAAGCTTCAGGAAGGAGTTGGTTCTTTCTTGATAGTAACTCCAGATTGGTTGGTTCCTTTGGTCGTATCCTTGCTAGTTGATGGGAAGTTGAAGGATCAATTCCTCTGATTCCAGTGGTTGATAACTTCAAGTCGGCTTGCAGTCTGGGATACTGCATTGGAGAAATCCTGAAAGGGTCCATCCTGGTAGCTTGCTATGATACACAGCTCTTGGAGTTTGGTTGTCAACTTCACATAGAGCTCATCTTTCCAAGTGTCTTCTGCAACTCCTGCTTCTGTGGTGAGGTACAGGAACTCAGACAGGAAGTCATGGAACCTGTCACCATTCTTCATGTACAGTTGTC